ATTTTTTGTGGTTAATGAGTTGCCACAAATCTGAATGGAAGCTGAATGAACTTTATGAATGAGTATTCAGTACTCCGCATGCGTTTGAATAGTGGTTCATTTGAATAAAAAAGACACCACAATGAAAACAAGTGAGGAAACTTTCATAATCCTTAAAGCCAACAGCAATACGGGGCACTCATTGGGTCAAGCACTTCTTTGGAATTCTTTGGAAGAAAACAAGGCTTAAAGCTAATTAAATGGCCAAAACTTACACAAAAATTATGCAATTGCCAGCTAGGTTTTGGCCCAAAAGGGCAATAGAAGCAGGAATCAAGAGACAGACAGAGAGGGAGGGAGCAAAGGGAACCGAAAGAAGGTTGCGCAAGACGAAAACACTTGAAAGTGATACGATTATGCAGCAGAAAAATCGTTGACCAGGCCCAGACCCAGACCAGAGCCCGGAGCCCGGAGCAGACTAGACCAAACGAGACCTGCGACTCAGGACTGCAGTGTCTACTGCCCCCTCTTTCCGCTCTATCCCCTCCGTCTGTTTGCATGTAAATTTTCGTTCTTTTTTTTTTTGTAAATTTGTAGCGTAATGCTGACCATGTAGAATTTGAACCGCTCCTCCGCCACTCCGCATTCTGTTTTTGGGCCAGACAACAGCAGGGGAGTGGAGTGGGGGGAGGGAAGGCCACCAGACAGACAGATCCTCAATAGGTGCACCGGTGGCACAGACCGAGAGCCCTGTAGGCCATGCACCAGATGTTCTTTAATAATTTTCATTTTTTCATCAAGAAAAAAACCCCTGGTAGCCATTGATGGACAGGAAATTAAATGATAACTTTTGTAGGTTCCTAATACTATTAATATTCGGTTGTAAGCCTTTTGAAAGATTATTGAATAAAGGAGAGGGAATATTGTAAGGAAACTAAAGAATGGATTCTCTTAGGTGACTTTTAAAAGAGTGTAGAGTGGAGATATACAGACAGATCTAACACAGATCTTTTATGGTACAAACATAAAGTTTTAATGGTATTATTTTCATCTAATATTATAATTATATTAAAGACTCCAATGCCTACTTCTTTGCCTGCAGAAACACACCGGAGAAAACACAAAAATGCTACAATAATTTGCAAGTACGGATGTGAATGCCTCAAATTCTAGAAATATATGGTCTGTTCGTTACTCATCAACGAGGCTTATCTTGGTTATTTTCAGGGGAAAGTACCTCATTTAACTTTTTAAAGATTAAAGAGAAATAAATCTAAAAAGATAAGCATATTATTTTCTGTTTAGATATGAGTTAAAATAGATCCAAACAGTGTTTGAGGAAACCTGTAACCCATTTTTAAGTTCCAGCTAAATTCTGCGTCTAAAACTACTTCTTTCCATGGGAATAATGGGAGTTTCGTTAGATTTACAATATATTTTGAACCTTTTAGAACTCTAAAAAGATGTTTTCAGCTCCCACAAATCTTCGACGTATTTTCTGTTGATTCTGTGGTCAATAAACTTGGCGTAGCTTGGCAGCAGCCTAACTGATTGCATAATGGAATTAGAGAGAAACCCAAAAATATCTATAACATAATTGAGAATAAGAGCATAACTTCTTCTGGCCAAGTCATGCCAGCCAAAAAGTTGTCAAACGGAAAAAAGAAAAGAAAAGAACAAACCAAAACGAATTTGAAAAGCATCGATCGAATCGATGGTAGAATGTAATCAGATTTGTGATTCACACAGATCCCCATGGTTTATAAAAGATAGAATGGAAGACAGAACAGAAACAGAATCAGAAAACTGTATTGCGGGGGAAAAACAAACAAAAGTTGATTGGAGGAACGGACAAAGGCGAAGCGAAAGAGTACAATATCTGAGAAATACTGCTACTTGCAACTTAATTAACACAAAAAGAGTGCCACAGACGATCCTAAGAAGAATGTGTGTGTGTGTGTGTGTGTGTGTGAGAAGCATATGCCTTGTCCGATGACATGGCAATCCCCTGGCAGGACAATACCCGAAGAGAAATGTCTCCGAAATGCCAACAACTTCATTCCGAGGCAGGAACAAATGATAGAAAAATGATTAAAATTAATGAAACTGTTCGCTAAACGTGCGAAAGGTGAAATTTAAGAAATTCCTTCAAAATACAGAATACAGAAAACCGAAAAATGACTTTCATTTTAGTAGCATTTTTAGAAGGCAGGAATCAAACACAATGGTATAGTAATGCACATGCCGCCAAAGGCTGCGGAATACAGAGATTGGATTCGATTCCATGGGGAATTTGGATACGCACCAAAAAATCATAGATAGAAATATATATCGGTACGGGCGGGCAGGGCAGGGCAGGGCAGGGCCGGGCCGGGCAGGGGCAGGGCACACAAAAGCGTGTGAATGCGTGCCTCGAATCCGATATTCATCTCTCGAATCCCCGAACGAACCCCGCCGCGCATCAATGGATTTTTAATAAATGGCCAAACGCAGTCGAGAAAAGCAGCAATCATAATAAGCAGCATAAATGCCCATGAATTGGGCATAGCATAGCGTACATACAATATCCAATATGGTGGATGCTGCTGATTAGTGGTGGTTCTGGGACACAAAATGGTTTCCTCCTGCGGCAATATGCTGCTCAATGAGCCTGTTCCATGGCAGTGGCATCAGCAGGAGCAGGAGCAGGAGTCAGAACCGAAATGGGCTCAAGGGTGGCAGAGCAGCCAGGGGCTGACCCAGAAGGGGGAGCAAATACATAGGGATCCTTCCGGTAACCATTTGAGGGCCTGCTGTAGAGTATATTACTCCGTTTTGGTTTCCTCTTTCGAGTATCGCAGCTCCACGTCGAATCATATAGCTCTACCCAGGACTTGGCTATCCACCAAAGCCCTCACGATACTTCCAGAAGATCTCCTCTGCTTTTGTATCAGAAATTCCAATAGTATATCCACAAAAGTCTCTTATAATCTCTTATAATTTTGGATCTTCTTGACACTACACATTCCTTTCTCATCCCTCGTTAAGTCCCCCTTCAATGTTGACGCCACTGCCTTTGGCATTTTGCGAAAGGTTCGGCTTTCGCTGCGCCCTATGTGCTCGTGCTCGTAGTGGTAACAGGCTTATAGGCCAAAGTTTAAGCCTTACACACGGGCAGAGGCAGAGACCACCCCTTCCATGGACAGCCGGCATATGGTACATAGCACTTCTTTCTCCCAATACATATATATATTATATATTGTGTGTGTGTGTACATTTTGCTCTTGGAATTTTTGTGGCGAATCATGTTTCGTTCATTTTTCAAAAGAAAAATGTTGCATGCGACGCGACACGCGGTGGCAGTGGCAGTGGCAGTGGCAGTGGCGGCTGCTGCTGCTGCTTACAGAGTAAACTCTTACTGCCACTGGGCGGTGGAGACCCCAGTCAAACCCCTCCTCCGTCTTGTATTCCCAGTTCCAGACGAGTTTCTTGGGCTCTGGGGCTCTGGGGCTCTGGGGGTCGCGTTCTCTGTTCTGTTTAATAATAAAACTTTGTGTGTGCGTGTCAAAGTTTGTTTGAAAGGCAACCGTTTGGCTATGGAAACGGTAGAAAGGGGAACGGGTGCGGGAATGGGAATGGGAATCGGAGTGGAAATATGGTTGTGGCACAGTGGCAGTGGGGCGCGGTTCCAAGCAGATTAGCAGGCAGGCTGGCTGGCAGGCAGCCATCGCTACTGAGCGGTGGATGGGTATTCGGGAAAATGAAACGAAAAAAAGCTCATTTTTCTTTTAATTTTCGTGCCTGTCAACTCAAAATGCCTACATTCATTTATAAACGTCTCGAAAATAAACGCACCACCAAAATGGAGGCATGGAAAACCCTCCACACCCCCGCCCCCGCCACCGCATTAAATCCAGGATAATCCATTTTCGTTTATATTAGAGCAGGGCAGACGCCATCTTTTTGGCAGGCCATTTCCCTCTCATTTTCCCTCCCAGGGGGTTTTCTTCTTTTATTTGTTATCAGAAAATGTGGCTTTTTCCTCTGGGAATGGGAGGCTGATATCCAAGGATCAGCCTCTTGGGGATATGCTGATAAATGTGTGTGGAATATATGGGTTGGGGGTAGTGTACACAAAGGGATTCTGGAGATTATGGGCTTATAGAAGCACAGAAATATATATTTTACTCATTGAAAGAAAGCATTTATATCACAATTTAAATTATTAAAAAACAAAATTAAAACTTATAATTTTATAAAATTTCAACAGTTTCACATTTTCTTGAATCCACAGATTGTTTATAGATTATTCTGTTCTGGGAAAGACTTCAAGCATATGAGGGATTGAATTGTATGGTTGATAGATCGAATCGTTCGCAAGGAGAAGCCTTCTACAGGCTTCTAATCTATATACTCCATAGAATTTCATTGAGAAATGAAGAGACATTGAGACTTAATACAGATTCCGACTTGAACTGAACCCATCGCATCATACAGCAGTGCCCATCGGTCGGGTGGCTCGGTTTGCTAATTCAAGCAGAGAAATGTCTGGATATCTTCTACAAAAATGTCCCTGTGTGAAGGTCTGCATAGGAAACAGATCATTTGGCAATTCGTTGAAGGAAAATCGCTTGAAAATCCAATAAGGATTCCTTACGCGCACACATCTGGCATAAAAGTCCCTCCGCTGATGTATAACCAATCTTGAACATACGATTCTTAACTCTAAAAGTAGATATGGAAATAAGGTGTGCTTCCAGAGCTTTACAAACAAATTTTACCGTTTCTTCCCCAAAAAAAAAGAAGAAGAAAATGATTTATTGCATTGAAAAACGTGTAATCTTTCAACTTCATGTCTCATAAAAGATCTCGTTACTTCGTCGGTGTTTTATCTTCAGCTATTTTTGAAAGTGAAACTCGTATCCTACATGAAGATAAGATATAAGAGATCTCTACATATCTGCTCTGCGTGGAGGCCCAGCCCAAGATGTAACAAGTGAAACCCCAAGATCTTGGGTCTACAGTAGAGAGTGAAAACTTACCAGTTTCATTATCGATGGTAAAGGGAATACCGTTCCATTCATTGGTTATCTCTTCCAGGGGATTCTCCTCGGCCTTGTCCTGCGTACATGGATGGATATGGTGGAGACATTCATCGATTATTTAAGATCAAACAAAAAAACAGACGATGAATGAAGCCCCCCCTTTAACACCAACATTTATCTGTTAGATAACTCGACTGCTATCCAAACGGCAGCGTGTCGCTCTCCATACCATATGGTATGTAAATATTGTGAAATTCCAAATGTAAATCTACGCTTTAGTTTTACCTTATCTTCCTGAAGCTCTTCCAAAGCTTTCAGCTTCTCAATATCGTCCACAGAGGCGGCGCCAGTGGCTTTCATCTCATCGGTGTCGTCGCTGTCCTTGAAGGCAGAGTCCGACATCGAGGGATCCGCCGGTTTCGACTCGGCCTCCGCCTTGGCCTTGGCCTGAGAGGCCGCACTATTGCCACTCGCGTAGGAGGCATTGATGATCTGCTCCTGATCGAGACTGAAGCCCAAGTCCACATCTTGTTTGTACAGCACCTCGGCGATTTCACTCTCCTGCAAGATCCGAACGAAAGCCAAAACACAATCAGTAATCAGTAATCAGTCATCGGAAAATGTATCTTATTTGAATGTCAATTTAAAGCACAAATGTCTGACCAGCGCTTGATGGATGAACACCCTCATATTTACACTCGGATCGTTCCGTGCTTTCTTTCTTTTATTTTATATTTTGGATTGCACTTTCAGTTCTTTCTTTTGGTTGCACTTTCAGTTCTGTTTTGTTTGGTTTTCCGATTACGATTAATCACTATTCAATTGCTCTTTTGGAGCCCCCACAACGTCATCCGCTTGTTCTAGTTCCCTAAGAGAGACTGACAACTGGAAAAGAGCCGCCCCCATATGGGGGACCGTAGAGCTCTTCTCTTCTCTTCTCCACTCTGCTCTGCTGTTCCGCACTTTTCGGGCTGCTTTGATAATGTCGATTTACATTTCGCGCCGTTTCGCTGATAAGTCGCGCGAGGGTACGTTCCATAGATAAAAAGATACGTCCTATAGAGATAGCAGTGTCGAATAATGGATACTGTCTGCGACGAGAAGTTTTCTCTTTGATGGAACTTCCTTTAAAGAAAGATCCATTAAACAGGATAGATTAATAGATTAAAAAGATTTTAAGGGAGAGCTTACAATTTCTGAAGTTCTTTAAAAGATTGTAACATGATTTTTTCCGAAATCTAAAGCTATGGCATATAATATTTCTTTCTTTCAGATACTAGAGAGATCCTTAAATCTGGAACCAAATTGGATATATCTGGAATATCTTTTATCCTTTTCTACCTTTCAATTGCGATTATTTAGCATGTGGATCCTTGGTAAAAGATTAAGATTAATTTAAGAGGTTGAAAGTGTAATATCTTTCATCATTTTCTACCTTTCAGATACGTTTTTCCAGGTGATTCTAGAGAAGATTTCAAGATTTACAAACCTTTTACTTTGATTCCTAAAGAACTCTTAAAAGCTATGTTTTTACATCTATTCCGATATTTTTCTTTTATAAAAAAGGCTCCACCGTGGAACGATCCCAAAGCTTAATAAAAAAAAAAAATACCAGCTAAAGAAAGATGATTTCTCTTCTATGGATTCTGATTGTAGAATCCATATACAAAGATATGCCTCTATAAAGATCGGCAGCAATCTCTTAAGGTCGCCTGGGGGTTCGAAAACTTCAGAAACAACCTCTTAAGATTCCATAGAGTAAACATATACCATAAAGAAAGATCTCTTAAGCAATAGACCAAGCCATAAAGTTCTTCAAAAAGTGTAATTCCTAACGCAAAGCCCAACTTTTATTGCTGTAAAACGGTGCCCCAAGTGGCATAAACTAATTTGGGGGTACGAAAACTATATAAATATGTACATACGATTATATATTGCTTCTCTTATTTCACAATTATTATCTACAAAAATCCCTAGTACACTAGCACCGGGGCACCGCGGCTCCCTTAGAAATCTCTCGAAACAGGAAAGAGTCGACGTGCTCGGGTCGCTCTTTGGCCGCCGCCAATCGGTAATCGTCAATCGCTGACGTTATCAATGGACTACAGAGAGCCAAGGGGGCTCTATAGTCTATTTCGATATAGTATTTATAACAATGATTCGGAGGGGCATACAGAGACAGAGTCTGACACAGACACAGAGCACTCTCTTACGGCGTGCCCTGGGACCGTGCCCGGGACTTGTTTACGCCACACGACAACCGAAACTCTTATCGCCCACACTGCAAACAATATTTCCAGCAATAAATTTCACTCGAAGAGAGTTCTACACTTGACGAAAATCATGGGAAAGAGAGCTGCGCGAAAGAGACCTGCGGGAATGAGGAAGGAATGGCTCTGCACGTGTAAAAGAGAGTTTAAGGGGTTCAAATCTTTTCGAAAGAGCTCAGAATAAGGAAGGAATGACCCCAAACTTAACCAAAGAGCTGTGATTGGGATCTTGAATGGATCATACACTGGAGGAATACCGGAAAGGGATCTTAGGAAGGAGGCTTCCGAAAAAATCGTTGCAAGTTCTTTAAAGCTTTAAAAAAGATCATATTGGTTCTTAACGCTACAAAAATATTCAGAAGGGGTCTGGAGATCTCCTCCAAATTTGGCAAAAATATATCTCTGGGTTGGTTATACACTTTACACTTTTTACAGAAAATCCAAACACAAAAGAATGCTGACATTCATCACATGTGCAGATCGTTTTGCTTATGAAGATGTTTTTCGGAATGGCAGGGAATTCTGCCAAATCATGCGGGAAGAGTAACAAGGAGGAATGACTAAAAGAAGCGGAATTCGAGCTCAAATTATAGCGTTAATGATGCATTATTAACGCTGCTCGGCCCGAAACCACTTTAATCCTTTTTCTTGGTCAAGTCGAAAGTCGGCGACAGGAGGCAGGGCGGTGTGTGGGCGTTGTCCTCCGTCCTAAGCCGCTTCTGCTTTCAGGTTTCTCCCTTCTTCCATCTCCCGTCCCAACAGGTAGGAGAAATATCTGAAGAAACAGGGATAATCACGGGATAATGGCAGACATTAGTCCGGGCACAATCGATTCTATTGCTGCGTTTTGCTTCCGGGCTTCTGTAGTGCCCCTAAAGGACAATCGTGGCCAAAGGACTTTTTGATGTTTTAATTAAAATGTTTCGTGTCCCTTCGCCAATGACATTTTTTTTTTTTTGTGTTCCCAAAACGTGTGACATTTTCTTTTTACTGTAAAATTTTCTTCAGAGGCTTTCTACAAGTTTTTCTTTCTCCCGCTGCTGCTGCTGCTGCAGGGGAGGGGGGGAAAAATAAAGAAAAGCAATCAATCATTCTGTGACCACGCCTATCTCCTGGATTAGTCAGCAGAATATGGCTATGGCGGCGGCATCATTGGTCTCTCCGGTCGGTCGGTCGGGTCGGGCCTCTCTCCCGTCAGAATCAGAAGGGAAATTAAGGGCCACTGTGCCGCCGCCTTCGAGCCCAATCAATTGCTGCCGTTGCCAGAGAGAGAGAGAGAGCACAGAGTAGCAGTGAAAATTCCCCAGGGAACAGGTCGGTCTCTCTTCATATGTATCTGTAAAGGGCATACATGTATGTGTGAGGCGTATCTGTGTGTGTGCTTGGGCAAGCGTTGCGCATGTTCGCTCAACAACAACAACAAAGAAGAAAAAAAAGAGCAATTAAATTGAGAATAAAGAAGAGGTTCCCGGACCGAAAACACCAAAAACCGACCGAAGCCTCCCCTGCTGGCAGGCATTTCATTATTATATTTCTCTCGCGTTTTTTTTTTAACGGAGGGGGTTGTTAATAGTACATATACGATGATTGCATATAGCGATGGTTGATTGGCAACTTGATTTTTAATTAAACTTCACTGAAAAGCTGAATGGCATTTCAGTGCTTGCGGAAAAGTCTTAAAAAACAAGAGATTGAAATAAAACATCGGCATAACGTTTTTGTCGAGGCACATTGAAGCTAGAAACGTTTTTTTCGAGCCACAAAGTATGTAAACTATTATAGAAGGGCTCGAGAGATGCCAAAATCGAAATCCTAATCCAAAAATCCCGTAATCCAATAAAATATATGCCACAAGTAAATCTAATAGACCTATAGAGTCCACGAAACTTTTTTCCAAGGATAACTCTTATTTATTCCCAAGACGTCCCGATCCCGAAAGAACCCCTTACCTTTTCGGAAACTTCGACTTTTTACAGTGTAGTAGCAGCCACCGTGTGGTGTGTAGGTTAAAGTTCTTATCGGTTAGGGTCGGAAATACAATGGTCGTTATCTTTGTACAACCCGAGTAATACTTGCTGCCTTGGGCAAAATTACGTGACATTTTTGCCAGCTTAGACACACACACAAAGACAGTCATTTCTCTGTAGAATTCTATTAAGAATCGTACGACGATCGATAATGATGGCAAAAGAGAGAAATAACAGAGAGAAAAAGGGCTGAAAATTTGATCTTTTAATCATGTCAGGGCATTCCCCTTTGGAAAAACCCGCATCAACTTTTATTTCGAGTGTTCTTTATTTTAGAATTTATTCCCGAATTTCACAATTTATGGCTGATGGTATTTATGGGCCAATTCTTATCGGTGGCTAAAAGGTATAGCCCTGCGTATACATAAGTATATCCCCGTGACCTTGTCCATTGATATGGGTCTTTTGGTTTAGCAACTATTCGAGTTTTTGCGTACACGTGTGGCGCTCTCCAGACATTCGCTCAGACTCGCATTGAAATGAGCCCCAAGCCTCGACTGGGGAGAGTTCCATTGATAAAGTGAGAGATAAGATGAGGAAATCTCTCTCGAGAGATGATTATAGTGGCGGGGGAGCAGCCCCCAGGGTCTATAGATATGACTAAAAATCGTAGAGGTAAGCGACACTCAGCGAAAGAGGCGAAGCCCGTTCGCTTTAAAAAAGTTCCCATAAGCGAAAGGAAACATGGCACTCGCGTTTTCCGCTTTTATACGCAGTAGATCTTCAGAGAATTACTATTGAATATTCCCATTATGAGGCTTGTTCTTTGGGGGCATTAACGATCCAGTAATGGTGGCATTCTTCAATCTGTATCTTTGCTGCCCCATAAACGATTCATAAGACTAATGAGATCTGCCCCCCACGACACCTGCCTTTGTTTGACAAACCATCAATCAAGGTCGTGTTGCATCAAAATATTGACACTTGTAACGCTTTGTGGCATCAATTAGTCTCCGCTTAGGCGATCGCTTTACTTGACCGCAAAAAGCCGACGCTATAAAACAAGAAAAACGAGTAAGTAAAAGAGATAAATGGATTTTTTGATCCTTCTTTCTAGGCTTCAAAGCAGCGACGGCGGCGGGCGGTGGCGGTCTCCAGTGAAAGCAAAAGAAAGTGCCCAAAGAGAAAGAAAGACAGAACCAAGCAAAGGAAGCAAATGGAAAGGAAAGGAGAGTAGACCTGACCCGATCCGATCCGACCCGGTTTAGGCCGGGACTTACTGTCGGCCGCTTCGTGTGGCTAAAAAGGTTCGCCAAAAGTCATT